AGCTTTTATACATTCCTGCACCTCAGCCAACTGGTGAGAAAAAGGACCAGAAATTTCACTAGCATCATAAGGGATGCTCCAAAGCAGCAACCAGGTGACCTACTGCAGACAGTGATAGAGATGCAGCTGTGTTAGTCTGGTCTAGCTGAAACAAAAGACAGGAGCATGCAGCACTTTAAAGACTAACAAGATGGTTTATTAGGTGATGGGCTTTTGTGGGCCAGATCCATTTCCTCAGATTTTCAAGCCCAGAAACATAACAGGCAGTTGGAATGACCAGATGATGGTCTGGAAGGAAGAAGAGGACCAGCACGGGACAGCAAAGGCCTCCATCCCGTAAAGCATACAGGGAACATCATTTAAAATGTTAATGGCCATTTACTGTCTTGGAGAAGGAAATAAAGTGCATCTATTTGTCCTACAACGCATATGGGGGAGAAAAGAGTAATCTAAAGGGGTGTAAGTGGGACATTCAACTTAATGGCTTGTCCATTCACTTCTAAGTAACTTAGGTTTGGCCTCCGTTCTAATCCTCAGACCACCACCACCAGTGGGGCATTACTGCCAGTGTCTGAGCAGGAGAGATTCTGAACTGGAATAGTAGAGAAGGTGCCAAGCCACAACTGAGTGCATGGGGCAGGGGGTACCTTGCACACCAACCTAGGCACTAAACTGGTAATAGGCTCCGCCAGCTCTAAAAGATAATCAGTACTTTCTGTATTTTAGCATAGAGAGTGGGAAGTAATGTCCTTCTCTGCCCCTCAGATTTGAAATGCTGTCAAAAGTAATTTAGCTCTTAAATGCAGAAGTCAAATAAAGAAATTGTTTTAATCGTTCTTTGAGAGAGGCTGACATGTCACGGCAAACTAAAAAAATACAGCTCTTGAGAAATTCTGCTTAGGTTTGATTTTCTGGATCACCCGGTGTGACTGTTTGAGTCTCAAGATATTTGCATGAAAACAGGATCTTTATAGCTTAAGAGTTCAGCCAGGGTAATGCAGAGCAAAAGCTGGTTAACTCACAATCTTTGGTGTAGACAAGACACAATGGAATAGCAATCCAGTAACACATTCACTTCTCAGTGTGGGGAGAAGCTATCCTGCTCTTGCAGCTAAGGTGGGCTAGATGAGTCTACTAAGTCTATTCGGTCTCCATCTTCTATAATTCTACATCATAGCCCTGTACACAAGAGTAAACTGATACCACATATGTAATTTATGGATTTTTAACATACCATATGAACTGGAGGACATGACATATTCCTAAATTTTATAGTGACATATAAAATGACCCTTGACTTGTAAAACAAGTCCTTTGAGGTCATACGGTATTAAAGATCTCTTCATAACGTAACAAAGGGGAGGCTACTAAAAAGTAAATACAAGGTCAGTAAAATTACCACTGGATCAGACACTCATGGTTAGTGAGTGGAGCCATGAAATGTTACTGTACTAAGACTGCCTGGCTTGATAGTCTATGCACAGCAAACAGACATTTTGTATACAGTATTTGTAAGGTTAAATTAGAAAAAGTCACTGATTTCCAACATTTTAAAACATTTACAGTGAACGGAAAATTCTGCGAGTCCAGGTAAACTTACATTAACGGTCACCTGCAAATAAATACCTTCGGTCTTAATTTTGAGGCATTCAGTGAGTGCAGATTTAAAAACCTTTAGAGAATAGATTACTAAATCAGACTTTTGCAACAACCAGACATAAAAGAATAAATACAAGAGTCCCACTGGGACTGTCATCAGGCTATCCCAGGTATAGAAATTCCAAACTTCACCAGTTTACACAGGGTGTAGTACAAGGCCCTTAGGCTCCTGGCAAGTTTCCAGCATGTCTCTCTCCTCTAAACTATATACTGACAACAGAAGCCAGAAGAGCGGGCACAAGTGGATCTGTATCCCAAGGGACATGGATCAAAAGAGCCTGGTAAAAGAACATTTCTCCATGGCTGTACTAAATGGGATAGATGGGGGCCCTTGTTCAGACTCCAATGTCTTTGTCCTGAATATTCTATGGCGGAACTGAACATTGGGAAAAAATGACTCATTACCTCTACAACCTCAGGATGGAGACACTCACCTAATGTTGTCACCACCACGTTGACGGGGGAAGAGGTCTTTTCCACCACCTTGTGCCAGCCTCTATTGTTCTGTGGTGCCCAGACAGCTGCTCGGCAGAAATAGTAGCCAGATTCGTCCACACCCACATCTCGCACCAACATGCGGTAGGACTTGCTATCCATGTAACTCAGGCTGATGAGGGAAGAGTCACTGACCAATGAATCATGGTCCACACTCAACAAAACCTTGGCATCCAACAATGTAGTATCAGGTGATTGACTGAAATACCACGTAACCTCAGCTTGGAAGATGCCATTTCTGTCTGTTGTGATGTTGCAGGTGAGGTCCAGGGAGTCCCTTTCAGTCACAGACATGTTGCTCGTGGTAATAAGCACATCCAGAGCTTGGAAATTCAAAAACAGGACCAAAAAAAAATGTTATTTTCAAGAGTTTGTCACAAACTATTTAGTGCTTGCTGCTCTGTGACTGCAAGTTCAAGTAATTTCAGCCCTTTACTTTCAGTGCTTGGTTGTTTAATGATTTGACTACAGGTTTGTTACAAACTACAAGTGTGTGTAGCAGTCAGAACATGGGACGGAGACTCAAGATTAGAGGGTTTTATTCCCAGCTTTGCCACAGACCTCCTGTGTGTGTCTAGGCAAGTAATTGCCTCTGCACTGATTTCCCCCATGAGAAAAACAGGGATAATATTTCATTTTACAGTGGCACCGAGACATTTAGAACCTAATTCACAAAAGGTAGAACTTCTACTGGCATGCACCCATTTATATCACAGCTAAATTTGGTCTTTGTCTAAAGAATTTTGAGCTCCTATGCAACACCCTTCTCTCTCTCCCCCCCCCGACACACAAGCAGCAGCGGCAGGAGCTACAGAAGGTTAAGTATGACTTAATGTAAGCAGCCATGGTCAAACCTTGAACTCTAGGCTTACCTCCAGAGGAGGCCACAAGCGAAAGGGCACTGAGGGCAGTGGTAGTTCCATAGACTGCTGCTGCTTCATGTATTACAGTGGCCAAGATACATGAGAGATTATACAGCAATGCCTATAGTTCATCTTTGTTGTAGCCATGTCAGTCCCAAGACATTAGACACACAAGGTGGGTCAGGAAGTATCTTTTATGGAACCAACTTCTGCTGGGTGAGAGAGAGTAGTTTATACAGAACTCTTCTTCAGCTCTAGGAAACTTACTGAAATGTTCTGAGTAGCTGTCCTCTAACAGACTCCTTTCCTGGCCAGTGGCTGTAGGGATGTTAGGTACTGTGTAACTGACTAATCATATAAACCACACAAAATATTATCAGTTACATGATTATTTGATAGTCCCTGGGGGTGGGGCTAGCAGCCAGTGCGCTCCTAGCTCCACTCCTGGGGAGCTCCCTGCCAGCCCGTCCTGCTGCCTCTCTATCAGCAGGGTGGGGTGGCAGATGGGAACTGGTCCACGAGGGAAGTCGGTTCATAAACCAGCTCCTGTCTGCCACCCTCCACTGCAACAGAGGCAGCAACGCGGGGCAGCAGCAGCAGCTTCTCTGCAGGGGGCCCAAGCTCCCCTTGGACAGAGGCTGCACCGGCATCCCACACAACAACCTCTGTCTGCGGTGAACCTGGGCCTGCTGCCAACAGAGGCTGCTCTGCAGCAGCCTTCCCTGCCAACCTCCCCTCCCCAACCTGTCAGAGGCTGCAGCAAGGGCAGGGAGAGGTGGGGGCCCCTGCCTCTCCCTGCTTGCTGCCTCTGATACAGAGGCAGCCTTGGGTGAAGGGGAAGGGAAGTGCATGTAGATGACAGGATTAACCAATAAGCCCAGGCATACTGTTTAATCGTGTAGTCAATAACACAGAGACATCCCTAGTGGTTGTACTCAATTCACAGAACACATGGCCACAGCCAGCATTCAGAAAGGACCTTTACGAGCAGTAGTTTGCAAAGCAGTTGACATCAATTTAGATTAGTTTAAATAATTATGTTAGCTGAAATAATTAAAAAGTGTTTATTAGGAGACACTTCCATATTCAATTTTTTTGTATTATAATCAGACAAAAAAAAAAACCCACACTTTTTGTCTCCTACAATTACCTCCAGCTGCAAAACAGGTCAGGTGCCTGTTACCTTATCCCCTTCTCTTTCATTTGCCAATTTGTTTACCTGCATTGTGCATAAACATTGTCCAAAACTGTTTGAGCTATTTGTATACTGTCTGGTAGAACTGGCTCTATTCCCTGACTGGCATCCCCAGGCACCGGAGGATACCAAGGACCACAATAAAAGATGAGAGCCCAATTCTACAAGACACTATACAAACAGGGTTGCTCCTTAACAGTGACCATGTGCTCACTTTAGAAGGTGGCTGGGCATTTCTCTGGTAAGTGAAGTAATTTCTCTCTATATGCTCATTCCTGTATACATTGTCTATAAGTTAGTAAAGAACTTTTGGGAAAAGTACTATATAAATGCAAGACTCTATACATTTCTTCACAATTATCAAAGCTGTTGCCTTGCAAACCAAGAAGTACTTCTCTCTCTCACCATTGCATCTCACAGCACAGAAAAGTCAGAAAGAGGTAATACACCACGGTACACCATACTTGCAGCATTTCAGTCAACTACATGTCCCAAGGACCTCCCCACAGTTGACTAAAGCCTCATCGATTTTTCCTGTAATGATAATAATTTTATGGGTAAAGAGGGCTAAAGCCTTCAGCGTAATTCTGCAGGGCTGTAATAAATTGGCATTAACAGAAGATTATAACTCCACTACAAGGTGAAGGCTAAGAGATCCTCCAAGAAACAAATATCTTCAAGCAAAGGGAACTCAAATACTGGATTTATAAACCAAGAGATATTTTTGTAAGAATCTCACCCATCCCCAAATTCCTAAGCTTCTTTTCTCCTATTATCACCAAAGCGCCTGAGTCCCCCATTCAGGATTACAGGCCCATCATGCTAGGCTGTGCACTAAACCATAGTAAGAAAAAAAAGTCCTTGGGTACAAGAAGATTTTGCAATCAAATTCAACACAAGGCAAGCAAATCTGACAAACAGCAGAATGGAAGGTAGCAAGAGGACAAAATTAACAAGTTCATGAAGTTATATAGCTAGCCTATGTACAAAGCAATGGTACTACATAAGGCTGTAGCACCTTGGATGGCTAAAATATGTTGTGTACACCTTTGCCTTTAATAGAGAGGCACAACGTACAGAGCCGACAGGACCCAGCACACACTGCTCTCCAGAAGGGCAAGCAGTCAGGCCATGTTGCATGACGGTATACACAGCACGTACAGGCCACACACTCCATTTTGTATATGGGGAGGAAGAGGTGATTAGGCTGAATTTAGAAGCCTATAACAAAATAAAAATCATCACAACTTTAGCCCCCGTTGCTGGTCCCTAGGATTCCCTCCTTCATTCGGTCACTGATTAAAGCCCCATCTACATGAGTCAGTTTCTCAAAAATTTAAAAGCTTGACAAGGCAATGCCAGAATTAGAGCCCTCACTTAGTACCCCGACTCTGGGGAGAGCATCTGAGACCTTTCCAAGGGAGCAGACTGATCCAGCAGAGCTCATGTCTAAGCCCCTATCAGTCAGAATTACTTATCTAACCAAAGACCAAAGTTCTGGGTTGTGCCTGTGACTCGAGGATTTCAAATGGCTGATGCTTTTATTGTCTCTGAACACACCACCACAGTTCAGGGCATCTGCACCTGTATTTTCTCTCAGCAATCCAGAAAGGTCACCCACTCTCAGGCTTCCAGCTTTCCAGCTGTTGCCTTTCTTGGGTGGAGACACACCTCTCACTTCCATCTGACAATGTTATTCCCAGCATAAACAGGCTACCCAAACTCACCTATTTGTTTTCTCTTCAGAGACTGAGAACAGAGATATCAATGACCATACCATTATGCAAGCTTATTTTATTCTTAAGGTAGAAAGCACTACAGAGAAAACACTAAGAGTGCACACCGGAGACTCTCCCATGTAACATAACCTCTACCAGGTGCAGTCTTTCCACACCCTGTCCAGATCTCCTTTATGGTCACAAGTCCATCTCAGCTTCAGCTCACAATCAGCACCCTCATAACAGATTTAATCCATCCTTTATATGGTTCATGGGTCTTAGAACTAGGATTTCCAGAGGCAGATCATTAGCAGACAATGGGTTTCCTCCCCCGGGTGAAGCTTCAAAAGAGAGGATTCACAAGGGTAATTTGCATTCTCTTCACACTGTCACTCTTCCTTTCCTGCCACACATTTTCTATCGTCTACTTTACATGCCTTGTCCAGAAAAGTCTTTTGAAGTTCCTAACATTTACATTGGTCAAGACTCTAGAAATGTTACATACAATTCTACAGTGTAACAAATAGTTGCATCTTCAATACAATACCCCTCCCCAACCCAAACGCCCCAAACCCAATTCAATAAGCTTTAACTTAATACAGTGAAGTTTGTCTTAATTTCATAAAGTTTGTTCAGGACACTGTTAGTCTGTCTCTCACACGCCCTAAAATACTATCACTCTCATATTTCTGAAGGGACATTATACATGTTCTTCTGCCAACTACATGATAAGATGGCACCACTATTACAATACCCCACTCCACATTTTGGCAGGGCTAGCACAATTATATGTTCAGTTTATCTGCTCATGAAGTCTGTGGGTAAGAGATCTGGATACTCATAACCCAACACTGGGAGTAATTTTGTTTCCTAAGCACATATAATTTTTAGGGTCTTATTC